AGGGGAGGAGGAGAAGGAGGAAAGAGAGAGAGAGAGAGAGAGAGAGAGATGACGAGTGCAATTAAACTACCTGAGCTCGACTTGCATACTGTCGTTGTCTTTCTTGACTCTATCCACTTCATTGCTGAGGTTCTGTCAGGAGTTTATCACATTTGTTGCAAACCCTTATAGTTAATTCGTTTAATTATTAAGGAAAACAAAATAAAAACATTATAATTTAGTATTAAAAGAAATATAAAAACCCATGTAAAAGGGTCTATTTTCATATGCAGACCTGTTAGCAGAAAAGTGTGTATAATAAGCCGGTTTATATGCTTGTATCAGTCAAGGAACCAGAGGGTACACAGGGAGATTTTATATGTATATTTATATCAAGAAAAGACGTTTCTTATATATTTGTGAGACATGCTTATATATGCATTCAGTTGTTTGAATTTTTTGCAAAGAAAAGGAAGGGAGAGAAAAACATTTTATTACCAGATCTGTTCATGGATGCTACATTTCACATGGTTTCAGTTTTCTTTGTCAATAAAGAAGGACAGAAAAACTATCAGAGCCGGAGAAAGAGAGCAACTAGTACATCCTATTTGTAGATCTGCTCATAGAAATCATACTTCATGTTTCTTGACATATTTTGAGCAAAGAAAAAATCATGCTTGTTTCCATCTGGCCCAAGGAAGAACCCAACAGATCTTTGATAGCAAAAAACACAAAAATGAAGAGAGAGAGAGAGAGAGAGAGAGAGAGAGAGAGAGAGAGAGAGAGAGAGAGAGAGAGAGAGAGAATCAAACCTCATGCTTGGCATCCCATAACTTCTTCCCAGCCTGGCCATGGTACTTGTCCAAGATATCAGTCACCCTTCACACCAAGAAGAAATTAGATTCATAAAATATAAACGAAAAAAACCCTTTATTTATTTTTTAATTTGAAGGAAACCCAGTAAATTAAAACGAAAAACCAAGAACCTAAAAAGCCAAAAAAGAAAAAAAAAATCATGAGCAGAAAAGCATGAGCTGCAGGTTCCTACGTGACTGAAGGGCTGCAGTATTCAACCATCTTTCCAGAGCTAGCAAAGATGACAAGAGAAACCTTAGCATCACATAGAACAGTGATTTCCTTGGCCTTCTTAATGATCCCATTCCTTCTCTTAGAGTAAGTGACCTGCCTGTTGCTTGAGTTCTCAATCCTCTTAATCTCAATCTTGCCCCTCCCCATATCTCTCAATTTTCGTTTTAGACTTATCTCTCTCTCTCTCTTCTCCTTCTTCTTCTTCTTCTTCTTCTTTGCTTTGTGAAATGGGGAAGAGGAAAGAAGAGATATATAATAGAAAAGAAGGTTCAAAAGAGAGTAAAGATGATCAGGAGAGCAATAGAGGGGCATTTCTATTCTGGGTTTGGAAGCTAAACAACTTTCATGTGGCACAGAAGTGAAGGGCTCGTTTATGGGTTGGTGACAAAGCCAAGCCAACTGCTTTCTCTTTTCATTTTTATGTTTACTTTTGTTTTAATCTGTGATGTTAATTTTTGATTGATATTTGATATGTGATTGGCTTTGTTAGCTTTGTTGCACCTTGTTAACCACTGGTCTCTCTCTCTCTCTCTCTCTCTCTCTCTCTCTCTAACAAGGAATTTTCTATTTTTTTATTTTATTTCAAGTCAAATGCTTTAGTGATTAAATTAATTTTTCTGTGGCTACCAGATTGCAGACGCATTGGCTACGGTTGCTTTGGTGCTGAGGCAGCTGTTTTTCTGAGACAAAACAGAAAGGTCGATCCATAATATTACTTACATATTCAATATATATATACATTTATCTCTCATTTATTCGGGGCACAGAGATTTGTTACTCATTGTGCTTCTTTTGCATGCACATATGCACAGGTGCTCGCTGAGAAGGAGGAAGTTGTTGTTGCTAAGGGTGTGAAGCTGCATGAACAAGCAGCTCCAAGTGCTAGCAATTTTGCTGATAATGGAAAGCATAACTTGGTTGGGTGGGAGTTAAGGAAGGTTCCTTCTGGTCCTGATCCACTGCACCACAATGGAAATAGCCCCAAAAAGCCTAGAAATGATCCATAAAAAAATGTCAGCCGTTAGATCAAGCAAAGCTAATCCGTTCTAGAACTACCAATGGATGCCTTTTGTATTTGATGCTTCTTTGGTCCGAGGAGAAGAAAACCCAACAAGTTTTCCTCCTGGACTTTTTCCAACTACTTTTATGTGTAAAATATGTGTGTCTTAATATATGGAACATATCTTTTGTTTAGTATCTTTTGTTCAGTTTCTGTCAAGATATTAAAACTTGCCTCACTCGATGTTTCAGTGACTGATTTTAACTCCAAGGTTTTTAGGGTTTCCTTAATATAGGCTTAATTAAGAGTGTGAAATGGGAAAGAAGACTCTAGGACTAGGCGATATGTGTGTTTGTATTAATTGATACGTAAATGTGCAATTTTGGGTCTTGAAGTTTGTGATGGTCTTGTCTAGGGTTTTAGTGATGGATCTAAATGAGGATAATAATCAAATCTTAAATCTTAACCATCAAATCAAAATCAATATGTGTTTTTCCTCAGCAAGTAATACTGGGTTTCTAGGTGGTAAAGCGATGGGGCAAAGAGAAGGGGACAAAGTAAGTTTTATGTGCCCCGAATACGGAGAAAGGAAAATATGATATATTTTGGTACCTCCAACTCAAACAGTCAAGATCATTAAACAAGACATCTGTCTGGGATTTGGTCTATTTTATATGGCCTATATACACAGCTAGCTCAGTGGTTCTATGGAAAGGTTGGGAAGTGGGATATGTAAAAAAGTGTTACATTTGCGGTTTGAGTAAATATTATGAATTGCAGACATGGCTTATCAAGGTGGCTAGATCGAAATCGAATGTGCTCTCCACTCTATACTCGAGTTCGAATACTTCTTTTAGTAATTTAGATTAAATTAAAGTAGAATATCGTTTGTATAAAAATAAAAAAAAAGTAAATGTTACGAAAGTAGTAAACTCAAACTTATTTGAATTGAATGAACTATTCTTACACGTATCAAAAAGAAAAAGTAAAACTACTTTACCATCACACCTAGATTGTTTATCAAATTAGGAACTTACCCCCTAAAACTTTTTCTTTACTCCTTCACATGAGGTGAATGCATTGCACCCACATATAAGAGAGTCGGAATGCATGATTCCAGACATTCTATAAATGAAATGCATGTAACTTTAGTCAACAATTATCAAACCAAAGCACATGCTGGAGAAAAATGAAACACATTGAAAGCTCACTCTAGCCAACGGCAGGCAAACGAGATTTGCAGATATACAATATAATAGTCACTAAATTGAAAAATAAGAATCAATTCTTCTTAAGTTATGACTTATATGAATTAAGCCCTTAAATAGTTATAAACTATTAACTATTCACTACATGAGTATGTGGATTTGTGTTTATGTTTAAAATTAGGGTTTAATTTGTTTAGTGATATTTCTCTACACTTTATTTGGAGATGTCCCAAATTCAAATGACCTAAGACATCTTATAAAGATAAATTGCGGATTAGATTAGATAATTAAAAGAAAAGACGAAGACGACTCATCATCCACATATACAGTATAAACAAGGATTAGGAGAAAATCACCTTCACTACATACCATGTTAAACAGTAAGAAAGGTTCTAACTTCCAACAGGCAACAGTGACCTACCTATGACAATTCATGATAATAATATAGCGATAGGTACCAACAAAATGATAAAAAGGGTATTTTTAAAATTTTAAAAATAAAATAAAATTGAAGAGTATGAAAAAAAGTATCTATATAGTTATGCTCTCATGTAGATGTCCGCTGTGCGGATGCCATTATAAACAAAGAGAAAAGCATGAAGAGGTTGTAGAAAATACATGACATATATACGATAATAATATTTAAATATCCACATAGGAGAATTTCAATATATATATTTGGAGTATATTGGATTCACTCTATATGGTACTAGACTACTAGAGAGGATCCTTTCCTTGCGTTGACGGGCAAGAGCTGGGCCACGCCCCACTCAATCAATTGGTCTTAAAGGACTTTTCCCTTTATTTTTCCCTGTTTGGCAACCACTTTTTTCTCATATGCTGTCTAGGGTTTCTGTTAGTACGTATTTTACTGTTTGCTAATCGGTAAAATCCCATTGCTTCCACAATTACCACAGATTTGAACACGTAAAATACAAATTTAACCTTCCAAATTCCTTAATTTGAACATGCTAAAATGAGTGTATGTAGGTGTCAATCATTAATATAAATGGATCTTGCAATGCATTAATGACTGACAATCACTCACACGCGCGTAAGCAACTGTCGCTAGCATAACTATAATTATAATGCACAACAAAACTGTAATTGTTAGTAATTTTTTTATAACAAAATTTTAAGTGGCCTAGCTTGTGCATTTGAATTACAATCCTTGGTTTAAATTATAGTCGTCTATTCAAAATCTTTATAAAAAAAAATTCATTTGTAAAGAATTTGAAGTAGATTGTAGACCCATTTGTTGGACCGGATAAAAGGTGAGATTGGACTAAAATAGCATGCAGCAGAGTCCAGTTTGGGTGACTTGAAAAAGAAATCCACTTCCGGCTGTCACGTTAAAACAGATGGGCTAGATTTTTACCCATGCCATTGCTTACTTGCAAGGGTTCTCTCCTCGAGCAAACAAACAAACAGATTCTCCTTGTCTCTTTCTAAGCTGGTAGTCTCTTCTCACGAGATCGTTTAACTGAGGGCTGCTTTTATTGCATCAACAAACCAAAAATTCATTTAATATTGTTTGGGGATGCTACAATCTGTAGCGCACTGGTACAAGCGATTTCTGATCATAGATGCATGAGTCTTGTGAACAGTTAGAAATCAATCACGTGCAACCAACCCTAGTATTCTCATAATGTATTTTTAAAAGTTAAGAAAGAAAAAAATTTGGACTACTTCAACATTACAACAAGGTCAAGCTACATAAATGCTTACCTGCACCACAAAGTAACTTTGATATTCAGCATCAACTCAACATTTCTACTTTACAAAATTTATAGCACAAGTGCTTGCCAAAATATCAGCAACGAGGACCTTCTCATATAGAGCATCATAAACTCAATATTATGTGCTCAGGATAGCTAATATATCTTGAAAGTCCAACATCAACATATTTGCAGTCACCTCTGGGAATCCACATTTTGTTGCTCATGTGCCTTCATGATGTTATCTCTAAATTCTGCTGATGGACTAGAACCAATTTGAAACACTGAAGTCCCGTAGCTTGCTAAGATGCCTCTCCATGTCCTGTCTGGTCTTATTCCACTCTTCCCTCTCTATTACTGTGGTGGGATCATCCTTTTCACTCTGAAATCATGGATGAGAACAGTGATTCAGATGATGAATAACAAATAAAGTTGAAGAAACCAATTTGGATCAAAGTTGGTTACCCCATGAATTATTCTGAAGGAGTTGCCATTATCACGTATTACAAGCAGGTCATGCCTTCTATCTCTGCTTCTTCCCCCTGGAACACTGACCTGTAGAATGCATAACAACCATTGAAAGAGCATAAGAAACAATTTAAAACAAGGGGGTGCTATTCCCTGAAAGTAAATAGGGGAATACATAATATAAGCTACATTAGATTTCACACAGACTTTTGGTTTGATAGTCTCATAAGTTGACTCATCTATGAAATATACGTAGGTGAAAATGGTGAAGAATATAATGACTTTCATGGAAACATTCAAGATAAAACCAATGATGGAATCACTTATATCACAATTTCAGGATCACAGAATCAAACATAGAAAGAAATAAAAAAACATAACAATATATGGACAAGTGATGTGAACTTCATGTCTGACACTTTTGAAACTCAAGTTTTGCAATTCAATTACGCCATGGGGCTGCCATAGAGATAGGACCTCTATGTGCAAGCACCCCGGTTCAATAAATCAGATTGTATGATGATATAATTACTGATGCGTACTATACAGGCCTGGCCAGGGTCATAGACTTACAGTATTACACCATATGTGGGAAAGGAGGAACGCAGGAGGAGTCAAATATGAACTATAACGCTCATATACAGTCACAGCATTATCAGACCAAAACAAAATAAAAAGATGCACAGCATTAGGACAGAAAATAAAGAAAATGGAATTCTCTACATTTTGGTATCAGATGTAGTGAAAAATTCAAAGCGAACTATACATTTTATCTTAAAGACAAATCCCACTTGGTTTAGTCAAGATCCAAGACATAAGACGTGAGAAACATGGGTCTCAAAAATAAAAATGTTCTCTACTGATTAATAATTTTGCCGGTATTCTTTAGTAAGGATCAAAAGTAAACTCCGATGACAAGAAAAACTTGTAACTAGCAAAAGACGCTGTCAATTTCTTAACAAACTCACATAAAGAAACGTGTAAGCAATATGATTTATCTAAGCTAAAAAGACTTTCTAAAATTTAAAGAAAGGAGCAGATTATGATACCAAAGGAATTATACACTAAAAGAAGAATCTCAGATAACAACTTGGAAAGCAAAACAGAAAAGGTAAAATTCTTACCAGAACTTTTGCTCTGCTTATAGATTTTGTTTTGGAATCAATCACATAAATCTCCTCAAAATCCAGAACAAAATCAGGGTCGCCCAACCTCCGGTTCCTGTAGTGCTTTGTCAAGTAAACCTGAAACAGAAAAAGTAGCCTGATGAATGATTGCTACTGCTAAAAAGAGACACCCATTTATCAAAGAAGACTAAAAACAGGAACACCATCCATTGGGATAAAAACCCACCTATCTTAAAGAAGTTCAGTGCAACATTGACCACCAATTATCCTACCTATTGTTGTAATGTTAACTGCTACATCTAGAACCATTTTTGTGCAATCAAATTGCTAATGTTTCCATTCTACGGTCCTACCGTCCTACCCATTACATAGTTGCACAAAATGAAATCAAATTCGTAGTTCAATTCAATCAATACCTTTAAAACATCCCGCTCAGACTTATACAATGGATCTCTAGGAGCATCAATTGGTGGCTCTGTCACATTGTAGCAGCTAAAATCACTCTTGGCACAGCGAATGTACTACAGATTTAAAGCAAGCAATGATTAAACAAAATAAACATCAAATTGGCCTTAATAAATCATAATTAAGTGTAAAAATTTAGAGTACCTTCTGAGGCATTGGAGCTAAAACCCTGGGAATTGCATAAACATCTGTGTCCGGAGGAGTAACATACATCTACATTAAGCATTTATAAGAAACTTAATTTTCTTACTGAAAATGAAATTAAAATTGAAAAAAGAAGAAGCAAAAATTACACACCTCTCTGAAATCATAGACGTCATTATCGGGATCGGGGGGCTTCCTTATGAAGAAATCGCAATCGAGCAAGCTAATCTTGTGAAACTCGTCTTCGTTAATCCGATAATCGACGACCATCTCCGAGTCCCAGCCTTGCGTAAACACAAAGCTCTTGCTCTGCACCATGGCGATGTCCTCTTCGCCGTTGGCGGCAGCAACGGCTGCTGCGGCGGCAGCGAGAGTGTCGTACTCAATGTCGAAGTCCTTCTTGTTGTCGACTTCCTCGAGCTCTTCGTCGTCCATGTCATATTCATCGGGGCCTGCGCTGTCACCGTCGCCGTCGTCGGCGCGGACGAGGAAGGATGGGGTGTTTGGGGACGGGGATAGGATTAGGGGGTGTTTGGGGAGGGGTTTGGGCTTGAGGGAGCGGAAGGGGAGGAGGGGGTGCTGAGAGTGGAGGAGGAGGAGAGGGGTGCGTGTGGAGAGTGGTGGTGGAGAGAGGACGAGAGCGGTTGCTCTCATGGCTTTTGTGGTTTTTCAGATGTCTTGGATGAGGAAAATGAAGATTGAAGATAACAGCGCGCGCTGCGTATCTAATTATCGCGGTATCAGCTTATCAGGTTTTGAATGTGATTCATAATATTGCATTATTATTAGTTTATGTATACTAGCCCCTTCATGTGCAAATTGATTTTCTTTTTTCTTTTATTTTTAGTATTAAGAAAAAATAATATGGATAATTATGTTCCATAAAAGGATGATTTATTATCTGATTTTGTTTTAAATTTTAATTTTATAATATGAAAAAGTGAATTTACCATATTTTCTTCATTTAATTAATAATTTAAATTCCTAATGTTTGAATTAACTAATGGCATTTTTTTGTATTTTGAATGTTTCACCATTCTCTGCTTTTTGCTATATATATATATATTCAAAGTTTGTTTTTGTTTTTTTTTTTGGTATAGGAATAGGGAATATTTTATTTTTAAACTCTTCATTCATGAGTTGTTTTATTCAAATAAAAAATTATTTAGGAATTTAATTATGATGGTAAATATTTCATTGTCGCTGAAAACACTATCTTCGTTTATGTATTTAAGTCACAATTTGCGTGAGTGACGGCTTAAAAAATGGGAGTTTCACTAAAACACCCAAAATGGGGTCTGAAATTATAAAAAAACCCAATCACTATTTAAACATATAAACACACCCAAAACCCATCATTACACACACTC